GAATATTTATTTACACACAATCAGGTACACTCAGGAGTGCCTTGATGAAGCCTGGAAATTGCAAAACTGAGTCTAATGACAACTACCCTCACACAAAATCCTGAGCTCATCTTCCCAAAATCTACAAGGTCAGGAACTAAAGTGGTACAGCACTAAGCAACCACAGATAAAACTTCTTTTTCTGTAGCCAATGATGTTAAAAATTTAGTTCAAGTGGTTATTTGCAAGCTACATTAGTTAATTTGATCTTCTCAACTATATGCGACCCAGCACAGAATTTTGGTTTTGAGGTGGTTTGGGCTTTGTTTTTTAAATTTAAACAGAACAGAGAAAAATAATAGGGAAGTGAAGTTGCTTTATGCATACTTAGTTGTTAGAAGCTCTAATTTGTAACAGAATAACTTAAAATACAAAAGGCAATCTATTGCCTACTTTGGAATAGCAATTACTTCACTGCAGAGTTACCATAATTTGATTTGCTCAACTTAACATTTGAATAGCACAGCATCTGAATTAGCACAGAAAACCCCATCCCAACTCCACAAAACTTCAGCCTATTCCACTGATGTGCCACTTTGATCATGGTTAGGGCCTAGTTTCAGCTAGAAATCTTAAGGTACGTAGATGTTATGTCAGAACAACAGTCTGCTTACATCTCAAATCATGAGAGCAGTGAAACCAAGATCTAAGCATTCTAAAGCACACAAAATACTGCTGTGCTAAGACTTACTGGGACAAACTGGCACAACAACAGAAATTCAAAGATCAGTGCCTGAAAGTAAAAAGAAAATTAAACTGGTTTTATTAGTTTTGCTCTCCACACTTGAATGAAAAGAAAAACAACTAGCACACGTCACTGTGAACCTGTTTTTCTTAAATCCCCATAGTTGTAATAAGATGCATGATCAGTAATACAAAATATATCACAAATCCTAATAAAATATAGACTGTTGAAGTATTCCTTTATTTACTGAACTGTATTTACTATTTTTAGCAAACTAAATAATTATTTAGTATTTACAATACACTGAACTGTGTGAAAACTTCCACCAGTGTCTTTAACTTCAGCTCCCCACATAGGCAAGACCAAAAGCATCCTCAAGGGAGCAATTGAGCTCCCCACACGGGGTGCTTACAGTGGTTCAAGAACTCAACTCCATATGGACACGTACTTATCTCCAATGGAAAAATGTCCATGTGAATGTACTTACTAACAAGATTTTACTCAGACTTTTAGATTTGGTAGAATGTTTACTAATAGATAAAAGTTTGGGGAGCAGAGGGGGAAGATATTTGTTAGACTCCATTTTCCTAGGTACCATAATTAATTATTTCCAATCAAACGGTATTTACCATAAACATACCACATTTGGCTGGTATGGTCCACTGAATCAATTTGCAAAATTCAAGCTCTGCAAGACGAAGTTTCTTTAATTTGGTCTTTACTTTAAAAACAGATTTTACTGCAGGCTGGACTGGATGGGAAGGGGCAGTTTGGTAGATAATGTGGGGGTTTTTTTGTTTTTGCTATTGCACCTCCTACTCCACCCAAAGTACCAGGTACGATTAATTGAGCCACAGATCTATTTACCACTAAAGAAATCCACTGCAAAAATCTGGAACTCTGACAATCATTAGATTCTTCTTCTCTGCAAGGGTCAGATACTAATAAGGTTATTATTACAGAGGAAAATTAATTTACCCATTGAAATCACATTGGCAAGCTGGGTAGAACTATAATTACAGGTCATAGTGCTTTTGTATTTGGTGTCTTCCTCCCAATTACTGACAGTAAGCGGAAACTTTTTTAATAGTATGTCACACACTAAACATGGGAGGTCTCCAAATCAACATTTTTGCACATCCAAGTATGCTTACTCCAGACAACACAAAAAATGAACACCAACTTCCATCACTACCACATACCTCGTTCAGATTGTCTCTGCTTGAGCTATGGCCAGCACTGCCTGCCTCTGGGGAGTGCTATTTTGTTTGCACGCAGCAGCTACGCTTTTGCTATTCTCTGCAGCTTACTTCAAAACCCTCCTTTGCTTTAGGCAATCCCTACTAGACTATAACACCAAAATCTGGTTTAGGATTTTTCTATTCATGCAATCACTTATAGAAAATTCTATAATCGAAATTCATTAAGTTCCTGACCCTTCTTTCTCCTCTTTACAAACACTATGATGTTGCCAAGTAACCTTTTTTCTACATCTTAGCTTAATTTCTTCTCTTATTCAGCAGCGCTTGCCTACTAAGTATTTGAAAGTGAGATACTGAAGGTTATTGTGCTCAGCCCATCAATTTATCTTACTCAAAATAGTCCTTCAATAGAAACTTAATAAAAGTGGTGTTATTGCCAGTCCTAAAGGCTCAAGTTTTCTTTTCATCCACAGCTACAGTATGGCAGACTAATGCCAGATTTTTCTTTTTCACTACATCATGAGAGGATTGGCCTCTGAACCTGCAACATCAGCTACCGCAGTTGGAGAGGCACTACCCTTTCACAGCTTCTGGCGACACACTGCTCGCTAGCAGGCTTCTGCCTGGGCTGGGAACGTCGTCCATTCTTCTGGTGATCCGCTCAACTCACGACCCAACATCTGGGGATTACAGACTGGCATTTCTAAAAGCTCTGTAATAGTTAGGCATCTGACCCTCAGTGCAATTCAACAAGAGGTAAAATAATTATTTCAGCCCTGACCACTACCAGTCTCTGCTGAATCAGAGCACATACCTAAGAAATTCAACACGTTCTTTACCATTTGCTCCAAACACAGTGCATCCAGCTAACTTTGACACCCTCCATCACCACCAATACTTTATTTTTCCAATCTTCTTGAGCTGGCAGACTGAAACACTTTATAGATTATTTGATCACTGCCTTTGGAAAAGCATGCTCGTAGAAAGATGCAGTACATGTTATTCCATAATAATTTAAATGTTCATACATTAGGATTAATACAGCAATCAGGAAATGAAAAACAACCTAACAAAATAGCCAAGTATCAAAACGAATGAGGATTTTTTTGCCTTAAGTTAGTAAATGATTTTAGGCATCTAACTTCCTTTAGAGACAGCTGTCAACAGATACCTATCTACCCTAAGGTACCTTGCACCATAGAAAATCAGGCACTTAGGTGTTTTTTCCAAAGTTTATGTAAGACCTAGAATGAAATCCCATAAGGCAGTTGAGCAATGACTGCTTTCTAAGATCGTGACAGTAATGTATGATCTGCCCCATTTAATGCATTTATGACAAGGGTTTAGGAATCAGAAGGGACAATGGAATCTTCATACACTTCTATAAGGATCTTGTTTATCAGGTAATTTCTTGGCTTTACTAAACTGCCCTTACCACCAGTCGTTCTCATTCAGAGCCCTTCAGGTACCAACCTCAAATTTTCAGTTCCTCACACATTGCTGCAGCTGAAATCAAATGACAATGAAAACCAGGCTCCGAGTTGGCTTGCTCAGCTATCACTGATCAGTATCTTCCTTCAAAACCACGGTTACCATGGCACTTCCAAGGCAGCAGGGCCGTGTCAGGAAGGAGCCGAGGGCTGCCCCTTGCCCGGCCGGCTGTGCACGCGGCAGCCCACGCACGGGTGTAGCTGCTCCCGGGGACTGCACAGATTTGAGAGCTGTACGCTGTCCTCATCCATCAGATGGCAAATTTTGTCATGGCTTTATGTTTTAAAAGTGAAGATGAAATAATTAAACAGCAATCAGCAACACAGAAGTTATCAAAAGGATTCTGACAGTGAAGTAGGAGGGCTGAATTCAGAAACTCACTGAGGAGGAAAACATTGGGCCTTTCACATGCACGGAGGCAGAGGACTTGATTTAGGATGTCACGCTATGGAACAGACGGGTGAGCCGTGTATTTCGGCCCCAGCTTACGCTAGTTACTCATAACGATGTCTTATAAATCAGCAGCGCTAGAAAGCACCTCCGAGACAGAAAGGGCAGTGCAGCCCTCCAAGAGACATAGCTGCAGGCAGAATTACAGTGGGACCCTGTTTTCA